GGGTGCCAGGTTGAAATTCGTTCGTGAACATAAGGATAAGGAAAAATCTTAGTGAGAAAGAATATTATGGACAGAGGAAACCATAATTGAGTTGTTTGGAGGTAGTTCTAAAACCATATATAGAGGGAAAATGGCGATGCCTTTAAACAAAAGAACACAGTTCCAACAGTGAAATTTGGTGGTAGCAGAATCATGGTTTGGGATTGATTTTTTTCTGAAATAGGTGCTGGCAGTATATCAGTAATAGATGGTAGAATGAATGGCGCAGCATATCAAAATAAATTGGAAGGAAATTTAATGATTTCTGTTGAAAATCTTGAACTTCCTCTTGATTGGATCTTCCAACAAGATAATGATCATGAGCACACTGCAAAATCTACAAAAAAATGGCTTGCTAAAAAATAATGTAAATATCCTGAAATGGCTAAGTCAGTCCCCAGGTTTAAACACAGTCGTGAATCATTGGTTTTATTTGAAAATTCAAATCCTATCGAGAGCTCCAACAAATATCCCGGATCTGAAGACCATATGTGAAGAAGAATGGAAGAAAACACCAATTGAGATTTTCAAATTATTATTTTGAGAACTACAAAAAGAGGTTGGTTGCTGCAGAAGTGAATCATATCTACTCTAGAAAGTATTAAATGTAATATTCTATAAAGATCTTCGGATACCTTAATCTTATTCCCCACCCTTCTTTTTATCCTCTCCCCGAACAAGCCTATTTAATCTTGTTCTCTACCCTCTGTAACCCCTTGCGTGTTAGTGGCACTCCCGCAGTGCTTGAGGTGAAATGCTTAAAAGAAAGGGTAAGAAAAATTGTTTACTCCCACCACTGCATATAGAAATGGTCCATATTGGTTCAGTGTGATGTCTAATTGCACTAATTTTCTTTCTAAGTCTACGGATGACCAGATTCCGCTAGTTGGCGATAAAGAATGCAGGAATGTTGTTTAATGGGGGTAATTAGTACGTCGTTGTTAACAGTTAGTGGAGGTCAATATATTATGTCATGTTGAATTGACAAAGATAATGTGTGCGCAATGGGAGAAAAGTTTATTATTCATTTTTGTGTTTCCCCGATTGAAGGCATTATTGTATCCATGACATAAACAAACACCGCGTTTCACAGAAGGAACGAATAACAGAAAGAATAAAAAAATGACAAACACGCTTTTTTCTCAGAAAGTTTTATACCACTAAGTCTAACACAAAATTATATATATATATACTTGCATGTGACACACGCAGAGAAAATATAACATATATCTCAACAACAAGCAGAGTGAAAGGGAAAATGAAAAAATAAGGTAACATATAATATGGATACCGTTCTGTTTTTCTGTAAAAGCCATATTTAGTATTCCAGATTCTGTCGGACACGATGTGTCTGCTATGTCCTTAGCGATGACATATTACACAAAGAGGAAACAGCGAGGAAAACCAGTCCGGAAATACTTTTTATATCTCATGAACATCTCTGGATTGACATCAAAACAATGAGTTACTTTTATACTATTTGTTGACTTAATAGAATTGTTGGCTTCAGCTTGTCCAAATAAGTATTTTGTTTTGGGTTTTTAACAAGTACAATAAAAAAAAATTAATCTCGCGTTGTCCTCTGTATGGTGACTGCAATGTTTTTGATTTGTTTAAGTCTTACTCTTTTTCAAACCCAGTGTTCCCGACATGTAACTTGGAAAATTTCAAGATTTTAAATTGTCCCGAAGAAGCTTCTGGAGCTGTTGGACTTTTTGTTCTTCACGCGGAAAACGTTTCGTGCATTTCATCGTTTTTATCAAACAGGAAAACGGCAACACACAGGACTCTTCCAACATAAGGTCTGCGTATCGGACACATCTTCTATATTTAATGAAGATATATTTCCAGAGGAAAACGGCGCCATTGTCTCATAAGCTGCACCAGTGAAAAGCTAAGAAAGCTAATATTCTGTTTGACTCCTTGACTGAATGACTGCCATTTTCTCTCACTGTATGAATTGATGTTACTAAACGACCGTCACGTGACCAAGTTGACTTAATCTCCACCAAAGTGTGATAATCGCCTTTGTATACCGACATCGTATTTAGTTTTACTTATTAAATCAACATTGTCGCCCGCTTGTTCCAAAAAGTAGGACTTCAGATAAATCTTTCCAAAACAGAAATTATGAACTGGAAGCACATACCTTGAATCCATCATAAACATTAACGATATGAAATTAATGAAAACTAAACACTTCAAATACCTCTGGGTATGGAGCAGTTATAATAAATTTTGTATAGAGGGAGAGGAATTTGAACAGAGAATAGGCTGTGCTATGAGTAGCTATGATCAACACCGGAAAAATACTACAAAACCACAACTTTAATGAGTAATTTTCTAACCAACGCCTTTATCCACTATGCCATGTTTCCAGTTCCAGGGTTCAGTTCAACATTCCAACCACCTGAAGAAGGACGGAGCGTATAATGGCCGAAACTTTGTAATAAATATGGCGAGAAAGATGAGGACAATAATCGGAATAATGTAAATAGTGTTGCATGAGTCATGTTCTAAAATAGCCATTTCAGATTAAAAACTACATATAAATGTCATGCATAGCACGAAATCCGTTCAGAAATATCTAGCCTGTATAGACTCGTTTTCTGAAGCCAATGAGGGAAAATGGACCAGTTATAAGACATTTAGTATCGGAGATAAGTAAACTAAACATAGAATGGACTACGCTAGGTTTAGTCTCGCCCAACACCGCGAATTACTACAAAAGCATAAAAATAACTTGTCAGATAAAAAAAAAAAAAAACTCTTATATGGATGTCATACATGGTGGCAAACATGTCTGTTTAGAAATATCTCAAACCACTTTCTAAGATCAATGATTAAAAATGACTTCGAGCCTAGGAAGCCTTTTATTATTTGAGAGGGCAATCCTTCATCGAACCTCCTGGAATCACACACGAAATACTGTAAAAATACCAAACACTACATCAAGTGATGATTTTCAGCAGGAGCAACAACTAAAATGGATATTATGTGTGATTCGAAGGGAAAATAATGGCATAATCAAGATGTCGACGGTCTCCACTGCTTCAAACAGAAGGTTAGGAAATAAAGAAAACTGGAAAGAAGGACATCAGTGAACTCTTGAAATATATTTTGCTAAAGAATTCTTTTAATAGAAGGATCTTTTTTTTAATTTCAACCGACCGTAGCACTGGCTGTTCGTTCAATGAATGGCGAATTTCTCCATAACAGGAAACAACTACTACTATGACCATTACAATTATCATTAGACAAGCGACATGATGCGGTCATTATCGGAACTGAATTGATGCAGGTTTTCAGTTGAAGAGAGAGAGAAATGAAAGAAGAGAAAAATCTATACAAAAGTTAAGAAATATATCGAGTGTTTTGTCCTCAAACTATTGTAATGAAAATATTTTTCTTGTAGTATTGTAGTGAGTTTGATCGTCAGTGTAAGTTCAAAATATTTGAGCCCATGCCACACTACGTTAATTTCCCTGATGGTCAATAACGCAATAAAATTTGAAACCTCATCACTGTGACCAAAATTTAATATTTGAGATTATATTTGGTGTAACAATAACGTGAATTTCATATTTTCATTCTCTCTATTAATATTTATTAACACAAGTTTTCCTGGCAGAATATTTTTCCTTATTTGGTTTCCTAGATTTGTCAAAAATTCGGATAATGACATTGTCATTTGAAATTTTCAACATTTATTATTAGTGGTTTTTACATAATTCTAAATTTTCTTTTTAGTTCATATTTGTCGCGCTCATGACCATAATTTCCCGACACGCCCGAGGCGAATTATCTCCCCTTTATGTATTTATAAATTTTTCATCATCCGCCATTTCTGAAAACGCCTGATGACACTCGTTAGACTACTTTTCATTTTCGCATCTTTTTCCCGCCTGAACGCCTTGCGGACATCTGTCTCCATTTTCCACGCTCATTTGCAGAACAGGCATAATCTTATGCCTTTGAAACCTGTCAGTCATTTGAAGAAGGCGGAGAAAGAATATCCCATTTTCTCTCTTCTTTACAAAATTAAAACCATTTCCAACTTCTCTCACTGTTTCCCCAGCCATCATTTTATTTTGTTATATATTTTTCTTTCCTTTCTCTTATTCAGTTTTCTTTCTTTCGACTTATTTTATTTTTCATTCCATTCCTTTATTATATTATTCCTTCTTTTATTATTCCTTTGATTTTTCTTTTTTTTTTCTTTTCCCGTTCTTTATTTTCTCATTTCATTTTGCCTTCTTTCTTTCTTTCTGTCTGTCTTTCTTTTTTAAATTGTTTTCTCAGACCATGCTTTCTATTTTCTTTCTTTAACTGCTTTTCGTTCGATGTTGTTCTGTATTCCTTCTTTGGCATTTGTATCCATTCAATCATTAAATTATTTCCCATTCTATTTGTTCATTATTTTCCACTTCACTTTTTCTTTCTTCTCCTGTACAATTCTTTCTTTCTTTCTTTCTTTCTTTCTTTCTTTCTTTCTTTCTTTCTTTCTTTCTTTCTTACATAATGGCATAAAGATTCTCGTTCTTTCTTTTTTCATGCTTCCATTCTTAAAGCAGAAATATTTTTGTTTTTCTTTCTTTTTCATGATTACCTACATAATGTCAAAAAGATTCTCGTTCGTTCGTTCTTTCTTTTTTTCTTTCTTTCATGATTCCCTGCATAATAGCATAAAGTTTCTCGTTCTTTCTTTCTTTCTTTCTTTCTTTCTTTCTTTCTTTCATGATTCTATTCTTAATGTCATAAAGATTTTCGTTTTTTCATTCTCTCTTTCCATACGATGATTCCTTTGATCATTTGTCCCATTTTTTTGCATTGTTTAACTCTTTATTATTACATTTTCTTTCTTTCTTTATTTATTTATTTCTTATTTCTCAAAATTAATTCCTCTGTTTCATTTGTTTGCTTGTGCATTTTAACTTATCACTCTTTTCGTTCTCTTTTAAATGCTTTTTTCTTTTTTTTTCTTTCTCTCCTTTTATATTTTCTGTAACTTTTCTTCATCTTTTCTATTCCTTTTTTCTTTCTATCCGTGTATTCTTATTCGCTTTTTTGACTGTAACTATAAATAAGGTTCGCTCAGCATAGTTGCAGTTTAAACCATACGTGGGCTCTGTTGGTGTTGAACAAATGCAAATATGCCTGAGCAGGCGTTTGTAATGGGAGGTAGCTAATCACCCTAGTAAACTGGCATACTCTAATTCGAGTGGCTGCCCCATTTACATTTATTTACAAGGTAACCAAAAAAGTTCTGTCCGTTTTAAAAGGAAAAAAAATAAAACCCTTCACAGTATGTGTAACTTATATTTAGTCTTCAAAGTAATTGCCATCGGCATCCAGCACCTTCTGCCAACGTGTCTCCAGCTGTTCAATGCCCATGCGGTAGAACTCGGGGGGGGGGGGGGTTGAGGCAAAGAAGTCCGTGAGGGCTTTGCGCAAGTCTGCTTCATTGGTAAAGCATTTCCCACGAAGATGATTATCCAGGGAGTGGAAGAGGTGGTAATTGGATGGCGCAAGGTCAGGTGAATAAGGTGGATGGCACAAAGTCTCCCACCCAAGTTGCTGTATGGTATCCCTGACAACTCGCGCGACATGCGGTCTGGCGTTGTCATGGAGGAAAAGCACACCTTTGCGATTCACCAGTGCTGGATCCTTCTGGCGCAATGCCTGTTGCACACATTTCAATTGCTGCGAGTATAGGTCTCCAGTGACCGTTTGGCCCGATGAATGAACCACTTGACGACCTGTCCACCAGACACAAAGCATAATCTTGCTTGGGTGCATAGGCGGTCTTACGGTGTGAGGGACAGCATCCTGAGGAGACAATCAATGTCTGGAACGCTTGGGAGTTTCGTACAGAACCCACTTTTCATTACTGGTAAGCACTCCATTGATTAAGGATTCGGTACGGTGGCGAGAAAGCGGCAATACGCAGGCTGCCACTCGTTGTCCCTTGTGGACCTCCAACATCGTTTGCGGAACCCACTTGCTCAGTTTGTACGTCTTACCTAATCGGTGCAGGTGAAGTCTAATTGTTTCATCGGAAACGTTGAACTGTCTTGCAAGTTCACCACACGTTAGACTACTGTCCTCTTCAATGGCCGCCTTCAGGACTCCGTCATTCAAGACATGTGGTCGTCCACTGCGAGGCTCATCATGGAGAGACAAATTTCCCGACCTGAATTTTCGAAACCAACACCTTGCAGTACGTTCATCCACAGCACTATCCCCAAACGCTTGACATATGCGGCGACTTGATGCAGCTGCCGATAGGCCCACTTTGAAGTCGTAAAGCAAACAGTCCCGAACGAGATCTCTAGACACTTCCATC